TTATGGTGCATATAAAGTATATAACATGCCCTCTGTGGTAAAGAAAAGGAAAAGGGTTATGAAGCTGTTGGGAGCTTTTATCTCGATGGCTGAAATGGTATCTGATTCTTCTGAAGCAATTGGTGTTGTGTCCAAGGATTTAAAGGAGTTTTTGCAGTCTGATTCTGATGAAATTCCAAGGAGTTTGAGACAGTTGTCTAAAATTGCAAGATCTGAGGAGTTTAGTAATTCTGTTATTAGAGTTTCTCAGGCTTTAACAGTTGGGATTTTGAGGGGATATGGGAATGAAAGTAAGGGTGAGATTGAGGAGGTTGGTAGTTCAAGTCTTGCTGATAAGGTCATGGATAGAATGATGAGTACTGCTGGTACTGGATTTGTTTCTGTTGTTGTTGGTAGCTTTGCTAGGAATTTGGTTTTGGGTTTCTATTCGGACAGTCGGTCGGAGGAGGGGTTGAATGGGAATTACCAATCTGGGGTTTCGTGTCTGAAGTCGAATTCGTCAGAAGTGCCAACGTGGGTGGATATGGTTTGTAGTGATAGATGTAAAGTAATGATAGCTGATTGTATCCAGACATTTGTGAGCACTGCTGTTGCTGTTTATCTTGATAAAACGATGCATATAAATGTGTACGATGATATGTTTTCTGGGTTGACCAATCCGAAGCATCAAGCTAACGTGAAGGACTTTCTTATTTCAGTTTGTAACGGAGCTGTTGAGACGCTGGTGAAGACGTCTCACCAAGTAATGACAGCTTCTAGATCCGATTCTGATTTGAGTTCGAACTCTGCTTGTTCTATTGTTGATCAAAGTGAATATTTAACTCAAGCAAGTGAAAAGGCTTTCGAGCAAATGCCTCCAAAAAAAATTAAAGATACAAGTCAACCGATAGATCTACAAAGTAATGGATGGCTGGCTAGTGTGTCATCAACATTGGCGGTTCCAAGCAATAGGAAGTTTGTGCTTGACGTGACTGGCAGAGTGACATTTGAGACCGTTAGATCCATTGTCGAGTTTTTCACTCGGAAGCTATCAGAGAGCTTGAAAAGAAGTGTTAATGTTGCTCATGGAGAAGTTGTAGAGAGAGGGCTGGATATCGTCAGTTACATCAGTGCTAAATCTTCTGTAATTCTTACAATATGCCTTGCATTATTTCTACATATCCTTAGCAGTACTCAAACTTTATTGCGTGCCTAAAAGTTATTGATCTCCTTTGATCTAATGTATTAGAAGCTTATATGTTCTATAGTCTGGGAAAGATGTATATGCATTTGTTATACCTATAATTGAAAGGGCAGTTTATTCACATTTTGCCCTTTATGCTGTCGAATTTTGTAAGGAAGCTTCCTTTATCTTCCAGATGCACATGTTACCTTGATATTGGAAGTATTTGATCTTCATTATCAGTTCAAATAATGCAAAATTGGAGATAAATGCTCATGTTACTCTCAACTTTCTACTATTTTACAGTTTATATGTGAATGATTTATGCGGACAGTATCTTGGATAGTACAATCTGGTCAATATATTTCGCTGTTGTGCTTATAGTACTATTTTGTGAAAAACTGAACTTGTTAGTCATTATTGTTGGCACTTAAAACTACAAATTAACCGTCCTTTTCAAATTCAAAAGGAGAATGATGATGGTTGGCATTCTTGTTCTTGGTCTCAAAATTTCTTTTCCTTCCTTTTGCTTTTCTTTGGGAAGGGCGCTCACTGCTCAGTGTAAGTTTATAGTGTTGAGGATTGCAAATATCGTTTTGCATGGATGACTTTAATCTCTCATTATTTTTTTACTCTGCTTGTCATGATATCCTTCTTTCTTTTCTACTTTATTACTATCATGAAAGCTACACTTTTTAACCTTTAAAATCTAAAAGATATCTTGTATCTGCATCAAGTCAGTCTACAATCTGGTCTCCTAATAAGCATTTTGGATTGTGATATTTTCAAACATATGTAAAACCTTTTCTTCCTTCATTTAGACAAGGAACTGGTGAATGCTCTTCTCTTATTGATGTAATTATTTCGTTTGATCACAATCGGGGAAGAATATTGTTATATATGACTTTCATGTTGTAGTTTAAACTTTACCGCTCTCTAGTCTTTGGTCTTTATACAGTTATGAGTTCTACCATTTCCCTTAACTTACTAATTTGAACTGAATGTTGTCGTTGAGATGTTTGGTATAATATTTTCTCCATAGCTGAAATTGGTAAAAGTCAAACACCCTGTTCACTGTGATTTTGTTGGACATGACATGGTTGTGGTAACTCATCTTCATTTAGTTTCTTTATTGCTGTTGTCGCCGTTTATTCTCTCTCTCTCTCTCTCTCTTGTTGTCCATCAGGAAACTAAATGGAGTTGATCTAATGGGCAATCATTCAGTACTATGTGAATTCATATCAGATGAGAATTTGCGGTCTCTTAAAGAAGAATAAACAGAAGAAGATTTTAAACTGTTCATTGGTTTACCAAAAGGACCGGAGCATAGCAGAATGAACCAAGTGTAAGTTTTATTGCCCCAGTAAGACTGATGCTCTTTTTCTTCTGGTCACATTCCACTACAACATCAGTTACAGCATCTGGTGCTCCTTATCAAGCTTGAAAGTGCACCTAAAGCAATGCCCTCGCCTGCATTACCAAGTTCGTTGATAGTGGTAACATGAAGTTCCATGTTTTTTTTCACCGTGTTTAGTATATTCCATGTACTTTGAATATGCTGGACGCATCTTCTCTCTATGTTTATTTGAGAACTCAGAAACGAAGATAATGTTAATATAGTTAAAGTGTATGGGAAGGAGAACAAATGAAGTCTTTCCCACTATCTGAGTGGTGAAATTGAACATCTAGCTGCAAAACTAAGAAAGAGATCTCATTGCTTTTCTCTGTGAGTAAATAAGATTAATGGCATTTAAAGTAAGGGTTTGAACTACTCTTCCTATCGTCCTAAAGTTTTGGGGGATGCTCAAATTCTTTCACAATGTATTATCATGTCATGAAACAACAACAAAGGGTACAATACCAGTAACAATTATGGTAAATTTTTATGCGCATTTACACAACTAGTTTCAATCGACTCTAATTTTGAAGCTGTTTTGTTTTTGAAGCATCCTCATACGTTGTTTGTCAATTGGCTTAGAATATTTTCTGCAGCGACAAAAGATGAAACTTGACATCTCCCTTAGCAGAGAGTAATCTTATAAGCGAATTAACCCTTTGGGGACATCCGATAAAATTGGAATGACACAGAGAAGATTAGTGTGGATTCTGCGCAAGGATGACCAATACAAACCTTATTTTGACAGAGAGAAGATTAGCATGGCTCTAGCGCGATTGGAATGACACAGAGAAGATTAGTGTGGGCTTGGCGCAAGGATAACTACGTACAAATCGAGAAATGACCCAAATTATTTTGAGTTTCCTTATAAGCGAATACCAGTTAATATGCTGCATTTGACTTCTTTGTTGATACTTGTCCTGAGAAGAGGATGAAGTGAACATAATATTATTAAAAATAAACGTTATATTTCCAAGCACAAATCTGTCGAATAAAAAGACTAAACACCTACTTTTCCTTTCCTAGACTTTGAAATTAACCAGCTCAAGTATGAAAAGAATGTGAACAACAAAGATGTTTAAATTTCTTTAACGACCAGCCTCTTTGACCGGAGACTCTGGTCTTTTCAAAGTCTTAGATTGAAATCTTTGGTGTTCCTTTGTTTACCAAGTAGGGGTGTTCGTAGGTCGGTACGGTACAATATTTAAATATTTCGGTTCAGTATTTTTGGTATTCAGTTTCTTAAAATCTTATACTATTACCGTACCTAATTAAATTCGGTATGGTTCGGTTTTTCTCCTTTCGGTTTCGTTTTTGGTTTATTCGGTTCGGTAACTCCGGTTTTTGAATACTAATTAGTGCATAGAGCCATAGATTCTAATATTCTTAATTAAAGTACTCAAAAATACAAAACTAAAAATGTTTGTTAACAAAAATTTTGTCCAAAACTAGCGAATATCTACCCAAATAGAGAAAATTGTACATAAAAGAATATTTGATCATTAGAAATGTCTTGTTACTTGTTTAGAGTTAACTGATGAACTTAGAGAATAAAGAAAAGTAAAATTTTAGATTTTTTATATATATGTTATAATTGATAATATGTGTTTTGTGTAATATAATATATATTTCGGTACAGTATCGGTATTTCGGTATTTTATTTTAAAATACCAAATACCAATATTTTAAAAAACTTAAACCAAATATCATACCAAATACCAAAATACCGTATACCAAATAGCAAAATTTTCGGTTTCGGTACGGTAATTCGGTATTTACCATATTATGCACAGCCCTACTAACAAGGTACTTTCTTTAATTTCTAAGTCGACATTGATAGAAACTGGAATTTATGAGGGATATGTTTTCTCCGGAGGAAATTATGTCCATGATCAAAAAATTCTAGTTCATGCAGTTGATGTAAGTAGAAGGGGAGCTTCAAAGTAACAGTAGAGTTGTCTCTGTATGACCTATAGATCGCGGGTTCGAGCAGTGGAAGCAATCATTAATGTTTGTATTAGGGTAAGCTGTCTACATCAATACCTTTTAGGGTGCGATCCGTTCTTGATCCCTGTGTGAGCACGGAATACTTTGTGCATCGGACTGCGCCGGCAGATGATGCAAGCGGCCAAGGTTTTTGCATATACATTAAAGTGAGTTGGATCGAGATGAGTTGAAGAATGAGTAATAAAGCCACCTGTCCAAATCAAAACTACTTCTCCATTTCTTTTCTTTTTTCCTTTTTAATTTCAAGGTATATAAATGAGTTGTTAAACTATAAGTCATTGTACAATAAACCAGAGTTATATCTTACTGCAAACTCTTAGAGACCCTATGGTTGTTTAGTTTTTCGTTATTCTATTTGTGTAAGAATTAACTTGTGAATTTATTTGCAGTTATAAAATGTAGCCTATGTTAACTATGTTATAGGGATAACAGAGGAGAAAAAGAAGAAATCAAAAGATTGAGTACCAAAAACAGAACTAGGCAGAAGTTTTATTATTAGCATCGACTGCCATTACAACCCCCTTTCACAGTTAGTTCCTAAAAAGGGGATTAGAAAGTTAAAACACAAAAAGTCCAATTTATGGATTTTTGTTACTTCGAGTATAAATGTAATCAAGATGAGCAGCCATTGTCCTCCTCTTCAAACATTCCTCTTCCTCCACTTCTTCACATTTTGCTTCCTTAATCTCAATTTTCCCTTCACTTGCAACCTGCCCGTAAAACAAAACATAAATCAATTAATACACTATACATTAAAATTTTTTTACATCATCGAGTTAAAATAACTCACAACGTGTAACGGACTATAATAAGCCTAAATTAGTAACGCAAGAATTAAAGTAAATAACTTAATCCTTTAGGAGTAACATATACACACATACTAATATTACAAAAAAAAAAAAAAAAAAGTGCGGTGCACAAGTATCCCGGGTTCACGCAGAGTCCACGGAAGGACCGCACCCAAGGGGTGTGCTATAGGCAGCCTACTCTGATGCAAGCATCAGTGGCTGATTTCACAGCTCAAACCTACTACAAAGATATTTTTACACTGATCGCGTTCAGTAGTGGAGCCAGGATTTTCATTAAGAGGGGTCAAAACATAAAGAAGTAAACCCGCGAAGAAGCCAAGTGGTGTCAATATATAATGTATATCCATATAAAACTATTTTTTACCTAGCTACACAGTGTAATATTTTGTGGTTTCACCACTGATCGCGTTAATCTACTACAATCCTTCTCCTTTTATCCTGGATTAGGACTGATTATACTCATGAAACTCACATAGACGGAGTCATTATAACCCAATAATCAGAAAATCAAAATTAAACCAGTAGAATCTTAATATATAGATCAAATAAAGAAGAAAATATAAGAGATGGATTGACTTGCATGAAATTGGGGCATCGCCACAGAAGAATCAGGACGAGCAGCAAATGTGAGAGTGAAGCAAAGAAGAAATGCCACAATAAACAGAGTGCACAACTTTGACATGTTTTCTTCTTCTTTACCCCCAAGAGATTGAATTCTTCTGTTGTTCTTTTTTTTGGCTAAGTTAGAAGAGAAATTATAGGCAAATGTGCTTTCTTTCTCTAACTCATGTCAAGATTTGATTGGATTTTTAAAATCTATTACCATTAAATTGTTGACGTGTGATAAAGCCAAGCGGTAGTTAGAATGGTGCAAAATTACTCCATAAATAAATTGGTTAGCAAGTAGAACTAGCCAAAATTGTACATGCCAGAAATGGGAATTAAATTAAATTGCTAACTAAGAGAATCTTTTATGGTCGACGATGAGTATCTAATTCAATTCTTTAAAAAAAATCCTAATATTTATATGTTTTTTTTTTCTTATACTTTTTTTGGATTTCCATTACAATTTTGCATAAACATAAAAGAAGAACAGACAAGTAACGTCAAAACAAGAAATCGCAAAAATTCTGAAGGAATACAGTTAGTATCTACTCCATTAGTTCTGGGTTTCTGGCAATCGCAAGAATGGCGAAAGGAACGGTGTTTATTCACGTTAAGCATCAATACGCACATCCGAGTGATAGTCTCGAGCGATTGAGGTGAGAACACCTTGGAAGACAGAGATGTCCATCTTCGTCCACGCGTCGGGGACTACAGTCCAGAAAGGTCCTTGAAGAAGCTTGGCCTGTTCAGCTGCAGTGGCAGCTAAGTTGAACTGGTAGGTGGAAGCAGCATAGTAATGTGCATCTGGGAGGTCGACTATTGATGTGGTGGCGGTGAAACGGGTGTTAGCCGTTGATCTTGTTAATTTTCACAGATCTGGAGAATTTGAAGTAGAAGAGATATGCAATGAAGAAGCGTAGAGAGAGAATTGCGGCAGAAGGTTTTCTGTTATTACTGTTCAAAACTAACTAAATGTCTAAAAATATTGTACATTATATGCAACTTCTAATAGACCATCTATGCTAGTTAATTAACTTAACTAGAGTTAACACTAACACATAATGACAACTAAGTGACAGCTGTACAATTACTAAGCTCCTCTACACACACAACCCCCCCCCCCCTCAAGCTAGGGGTGATGAATATGTTCTTCATCCCTAGCTTGGACACAAGATAACGATGCTGAAGAATAGTGAGAGCCTTGGTCAGAATGTCAGCCTGCTGCTCAGAGGATGGGAGATACTGAACCTGGACTAGGCCTTGAAGCACCTTCTCACGAATGAAATGACAATCAATGTCAATGTGCTTAGTGCGCTCATGAAATACCGGATTAGCGGCAATCTGAATAGCGGACTTACTATCACAATGAAGAGAAATAGGCAACTGAATATCCATATCCATATCACGAAAAAGACCTGCGAGCCACACAAGCTCAGCAACAGTGGCAACAAGACTGCGATACTCTGCCTCAGCGGAGCTTCTAGAGATCGTAGTTTGCTTCTTGGATTTCCAAGAAATAGGTGATGCACCAAATTTAATCATATAGCCCGTGACAGATCGCCGCGTATCAGGGCATGAAGCCCAATCAGCATCACAAAAGGCTGTTAAGGAAGTTGAGGCAGCAGAAGACATAAGAATACCCATGCCAGGTGAAGATTTGATATAGCGAACCAAACGAACAGCAGCCCCCATATGCGAAACCTTTGGAGAATGCATGAATTGACTAAGGTTTGTAAACGCTGGTTATTTTTGATTGACCAGTCCGAAAACTGACTATATCGTGAAATTTAAACATATTATAGACCACTTTCTTGATTTACCCCAAAATTTGAAATTATATCAGCGTCGAAAAAAAAATTACACTGTATATTTATTACGTACCAACCCATTTGCATGGCTGGTAAACACCAGCCTGAAAAATAGGAGTATTTCTAAGATTACTCATATTAGAAAAGGAAAACTTATTAATTACAATCACTTCTATCCCTATAAATCTTCTTTACTCATATTAGAAAAGGAAAACTTATTAATTACAATCACTTCTATCCCTATAAATCTTCTTTTCAATAGGCAAGTTCTCTATTTTTTAAGTGATTGAGTTCTTTATTCGAATAGCAGATTCCTAAGTTCCAGATGAAATTTTACCAAAAAGTTACTAAAATATATTCGTACTCCAATATATCTACCCGTATTCCAGTCGAACTAATGATATACCTACCAATATTCCAACCAAAAATTAACTATATTCCAAAGTGTAAACTAATATTCCAACCGAACTAACAATAAATTGACAATAATATTTCAATAAAATTAAGTATATTACAACATATCTACCAGTATACCAATCGAACTAACAATATAATTATATTCAATCAGAAATTGATTGTATAAGTACATCTACTATTCCATTAAAACTAATAGTATAGATACAAATATTCCAATAAACTTGTCAAGACCCCAATTTTCCTCAGTCGGAGGTCGTGATGGCACCTAGTCTCTACGACTAGGTAAGCCTAACATTTGATAACAACTGAACATATATAATTAACAAAATACTGAAAACCAGTCTGATAAACTCATATAAACTTTCGAAAAACAGAATCTCAACCATACACTCTCCAAGAACGGTGGAACAGAGTCATAAGCTCTACAAAATAAAACTAGAGTAACCACTACATTACTGTCTAAAAGAAAATACAACAGTAAATAAGAATAGGGGAAGGTGACTCCGAGGCCTGCAGATGTAGAGCAGGTATACCTTGAAGTGTCGAAAGGCAGCTACTTCATCACGTCCAAATGCACGCCTCTAAAGAGGTATGACACGGTCGTTTGCAACAATAAAACCCAACAAAGAGTCGGGGTCGAATCCACAGGGACCTAAGATAGGGGTTAGGAGTATATATTCTAGTGCGTGAATTTGAACTATCTTAAGTTGCACTTCCACAAAATGGTGTTGCTGCTATTTCTATTTCAAAACTAAAGATTGCAAAATAAAGAAGTAAGACTAGGATAATTGTTTTTGTTGTTTTTCAAGATTGTAAAAAGCCTAGGACTATGACCATCACCTAGGTGTTTGCCTAATGGGATAAAAACCTTAATGCTTGTTTTGTTGATCGGGGTGTACTATAGCTATCAATTCTCAATTACCCACTCAATACCTCTCGGTCGGAGAGTGGTTTTGCCCAATTTGGCTTTCTCAAGCCCAAATGGGTATCACACAAAATTGTTGATAAAAGCTCAAGTCGGGTTATTACTATCTCTAGGTTGAATCCTTTAATTGGGTTAATCAATCTCTCGATTGACCTAATTTCTTGTTATCCAAGTTTTCCTAGATTAAGTCTCTCTTTCTCAAGTAGAGACTAAGTCAAATAGGCAAGAACTAATGTTTGCAACCATTAATTCCACAAATTAAAATATGAACAAGGCTAAATAATAAATACCCAACTATAAACAAGCACTAAATTAGATACCCATAAGGTTTACACACTAGGGTTGGGTCACAACCCTAGTAAAAATCTAGCTACTCATGCTTAAAATTGAAAAAATAGAAGAAGAAATACTAATAATCTCATATGTAAAATAATAGATAAAATCTATAGAGAAATAGTTCAGAATATAGAAAAACTTCCAAAAAGTAGGCAAGGAAAAAATGAACTACAGGACTCGCTGATGTCAAAACTTAGACCTAATTTCAATGA